GCGAAAAATGGGCAGGGCGTGGACAGAGGCGCAAGGAGAAGGCAAACAAATTACCCTGAAAGAAATTCAAGAAACTCCTAGAATGTGGTTCTGACCATAAACACGGTGGGATCTGTGAGATGGCCAACAGTGAAGAGCACAGACTGACCAGGCCAGGTGAGAGGGAAGGCCGCAGTCCTGTTCTTCCAGCACCTGGGCCTTGGAAGGTGCTGCAACCCAGCGCCTACTCAGAAAGGCCATGCTGTACCCCAGACAGATGGGTAGATTTTCTAACACCACAAGAGAACAACTTTCAGCCCAAGGAGGTGGAGGGAAGGCCAGGAGAACTTCCTGCAGGCCTGGCTGGAGGAGAAAAGCAACAGCTTTATCACAGAGGCTGACGGCCACTGGCGGAAGCCCAGGAAAGGGAAGTGTGTAAGGAGGAGGAAAAGGAACCAGCCAACAGAAGTGGCCCACTGCAAAGAAGCAGGGATTCGGCAGAAAAGACTAGAATAAGCAAGGAAGCCCTCTCTTCACTAACCAGAAAGCTGCATATTTATTTTTACTAGGAAATTTTAGAATTTTTTTTTAACCTTCCCCAAGTTCTTGGCTGGAAAAAAAGAATCCATGGAATGCACTAACTCAGAAATCAGGCAAAACTGCAGTGTTACTTACACTGAGTTCTAACTGAAATTTATCATTCTCATCATACAAATACAGAAAACAAACTGCAGTAGAATTAATAGTAACGATAGCTTCCTTACTAAGAAAAACAACCAATATTTTGATTTTACTTTAAAGTTCCTACACTTACCTTAAAATATCATTATCATAATTAATTTGACATAATGGTGCTTACAAAACTGTTTTAAAATCTTATTATTTAATATCCCAGAGGACAAAAGCATGTTACCATATGACTATATAACATGTTATTTTTCATATTATAGAGCTATATTTCAAGATATTTATAATGTGACAATTTTATTTCAGTATTTCATTGTATGTTCTCGTACATTTCCTTTACACATTTAAGGATTCATGGGCTTAGCCAAATAGATACGTGATTCACAAAACGTTAAGACTCTGAATGCAAAACTGTACTTGTTGATTTTGTATAAAGACAGAAAGGAAGTGATCGTCTGAAAAGGCGCAGGAAACCAACCCTGGGAAGCAGAGCTCACAGCACGTGCAGGACTGAAGCTTCACACGGAGGAGAAGGCCTCAGACTCAAGAGGGAGGCGGAAAATTCTCACAGAAACAGGCCGTCTTTGGGGGAGAGTGAGGACCAACATGCTGATGGTTTCTGCTTTCTACATGCAGCCAGCCTCGAAGGTGACTCACCCTCCCTGCAGGGACACCGGGGCTGATCCATCACTGGACCTCCCTGCTGACTGCAGCCCCCAAGGGGGCGTCTGACCTCCCCCCAGCTTAACATCAACAGGGACCCGCACCCTGAGGGGCTCCAGAGCCACGATGGGACACTGCCCACCTGAGCGCCTGGCTCTCTTCTGACAGGCCCGGGGGGACATCACCCCAGCACTTTCTCCCTTTGTTCTTCTGCCTCCTGGTCTGACAGAAGCCAGATCATCCCGCGGGACGATGGTTTCTCCACCAGCCAGCTCTTCCTCACTCTCAATCACGTGTGACAGGAGCATTTCACTTGATTCTTTAGCCTCTCTGAGCCTAATTTTCCTTCTCTCCAAATCTACCCATCCGATAAAATAAAAGCGCATAGTAAAAATAGAACTGTGACTACTCTGCAGTTCATGTGGTCATAACCACAGGCCCTGCCCCCTCCCTCTCCGGGTCATCTGCTGTCATCCTTCATCTTTCCCTCTCTCGTAATTGAAGACCTCTTTCTATTACTGTCCCCTCATCACAGACGTGACTCATCTGCCCTCACCTGCCCAGCCAACGCCCGGCCCCTGGCTGACTCCATGGCTTGGCTCTGCAGCCAGTCCTGGCCACACCTCTGAGGTCAGCTCCCCAGCTCTGACGTCCAGTGTGGCAGCCACTCACTAACGCTGGTTAGTGCCTGAAATACCGTATGTCTACAGGTCCTTTGATTCGAGTGTGCATGTCCTTAAGTGTCACGTCTGTAATTAACTTACTCTCTCTACCAACCCATTTACTCTCTTATCTCCCTGAGTTGGGTAAATTGTGATGAGTTTATGATAGAAGATACTACACAGAAATCAAAGTGAATTATACGAACTTGTACTTAGTGCTTATTGCATGTTGACTGCACTAGTGGGCCATTTACAAAAATTATCTAAATTTTATACTCCATGAGGTTAAGGAATTTGCCCAAGGTTATACATGTTGCCAAAATTTCAGCCTCAATGCCAGAGTTATGCTGCTAATTTACTGTTCTGCCATTAAAAGCAAATAGGTTGTAGATACAAGTAATGATTAAATCTAAAAATATCATTGGATCAAACAACAGAAAGCAAAAACAGCAATCCTGCTGCAGACTGCAGTGTACTCTATCATTTTTACATAGCTCAAAAACACCAACATTAATTAATTAATATAAAGAGAAGTTTCATGTATGATACAGTAATAGTAAAGGATAAATACAAAAGGCAGGATAAAGACGATGTCTAGGGTAGTAACCACTTCTGAGAGCAGAAGGATGCGGGGGAACAGAAGAGAGGAAAGCGGGGAGACTGGAAGGGAGGGGAGAGAGGAGGAGCCAGTGAGAGCTGAAATGGAAAGGGCCGTCCGAAGGGTGAAAGAATCGCCCACTCATGATGACTGGAAGGAGATGTGCATGTGTGTGCGCACACGTGTGTGCACGCATGCATGCGTACATACACAAGCATAAGCATAAAAAGAGGGCGCCACTCATATGCCTGTATTTGAAGTCAAAAGATGACTACAGACAAAATAAAATTTAAGGATTAGAAAGAAAAGAAAGAAGAAGGGTGAACTATAGAATTTGCTTTTACTCTATCCTGCAGCCAACAATGCTATCAGAGGATTATAAAGGTGTAATTCCCCAAAAGACAAGTAAGAAAGGCATACACAAGCCAAAGAAATACCAGCAACATTTTAGCAACTCTAGAACACATGGATAAGTATTAACTAGCTTTAAACAATAAAAAGGAGAAATCTCATTTCCCCCAAGGTGAGAGTAGCCAACACGAATGCTGATTCACAAGAAGGGACTTCAGATATTCAAGAGTCCTGTGTGGGAAGCGGGGCGCGGCTGAAACCCGGAGACACTTCAGGTACATCCCGTGTGCAGTGCAGCCAGGCACCACGGGGAAGGGCTTGACTTCTGTGAATCCCAGAAAAAGCTAAGAAGAGAATGTGGAAAGTCTCAGTGAGACCATGAGCACTTTCCAGAGCTCAGGCCAGGAGCTCTTGTCCTGGCACTACTGAAAAAGTCTGATGGGGATTGAAACACAAGAAAGCTTTAAAGGCACACATTAAAGGCGGGTTCTAAAACCTGTGAGGGAGGAGTGAGGTGGCAGACATACCACAAAACTCTGTGATCAGAATGACAGAAAACAATGGAGAAATATTCAGCAAAAATTCTGAGGCTAAAGATATTTGACATGATATTTTACAGTATATCCATTTATAAATTAGTGTGAAATCTGCATAATACTTTGCAAATGTACAAAACTCAAAATCTGACTCTGGATCTTCCTTCGAAAAGCTAGAAGATATATATTAGTAAAATATCAGAAAACTGAGGCTGCTGGCAACTGAGGCTCCACACAGGTAGGAGGTATGGGGGTCAGTGCCCGGGGGACCTGGAAGCTCTGCCCAGGAGGACACGCCACACTGCACGGAAACATGCCAGAAGCCCAATAAAAAGCTGGGGAAAAGTTAGAGAAGCTGCTGTAAATCTCTCAAGACACTGGAAAGGGGGATAACTTTTAATTTCAGGAGAATCAAGAATAGATATAGAAAGAGAGAAACAAAGGGAAGGAAAGAAAAGATGTGTTCAACTTACACGATGTGGCTTGGTACAGAGTCCTATTTTTCTAATGACAATAATGGAAGACCCAATTATTATTTACTCAAAAATACTGGAGTAAATATATTTGGAAGGACTTGTTAAAGTGTGGTGCACAGATACATGAGCTGTGCTGCTGCAGACAAACAGCTAAAACCCTGAGCCTCCCCAAGTTAACAGGGATTGTGCAAGAGCAAAAATACCAACGAACAGTAGCACGGAGTGCAGAGCAGTGTGTGTGCTAAATGTGTCCTCTGCCTCTGAGCTGCTCGTTACACAGAAGAATCAGCAGATACTACACAAGTCCATTTATTTCCCCTCGGGATTAGGAACTGGAAAGGATCACGAGTTGCTGCTTTTTGTCATAACTGTTTTGTTTTTAAAGACTTCAGAAAATATGGACAGAGCCCATTTGGATGAACACAATATGAAAGGCCACTATAAAGACGGCAGATTATATCATCTGCACATCTATGCCAAAAATGAACTCTAAATATAATATTTCTTCATGTTTCATGTAAAATTGACACAGGTCTAAAAAAAAATCTAACCCCACAGTATTTAGAAGTGTTTTGTCCTCTCTACAGCTAAGCTTTTCTGGAACGCTGGCCTAGTGCCTGTTGTAACATCATACATCCACCCACTAGGCATAAGGAAATAGCGCTGTTACCAACAGGACCTCACAGGGCAGCCACACTGAGGCCATGTGGTCATATTTCTTCAAGCTTGCAACGAAGCCCAGAGGAACTGCTGGTCATTCCTCCCGGAGAGGCCAGGCTCAGCACGTGGGTGTGGTGGCAAAGGCCAGAGAGCAAAAGGAATGCTGAATCCCTGAGCAGGAGCCTCTGGGAACCCAGGTGACAGTGGGATGCTAGCAAAGTGCCCACAGGGTGATTTGTAACCTTTTCTCACAATGACCTCTTTGAATGAATGTTTCATTGCAATAACGTGATCACTCTGAATCTTAGAGTGGTCAGCACAATGGAAAAAATAAGCCAAGCAACATCCTCATAATGCCCCCTCCTGAAATAGTCTGATGTTGCAGTACCTCTCTGTAGCCGTCACTGATTCGCTCTAGGCTGAGAGAATACAGAAGGTCCCTGCCCCCTACGAAGAGTCGTTCTTGGTATTCATCCAGCAGCATCGAATGGAGATCAAGGGATCCACGTGGGCTATGGAATATTGACGTTCTGTTCAGATCCAAGAGCTCTGAAATGCAAAAGGACAGGTACACTCAACAGCTGGGAAAATGCAGACACCTGTGTAACACCTTCCCGTGCTCTGCGTTCACACCACTGGAACATTCACTTCAGCATACACATGAAACCTCTGCACTAGTTATTCAATAAGACTGGAAATACAGAGCCAACCTACAGCATCCATCGGGAACTGGTTCCAGCCACACCCACACCCCCCAAAGCAAAACCCAAGGATGCCCAATCGCTTGTATAAAATGGCACAGCTTTGGCACAAAACCTGTGCACACCATCTCCCGCCTAACTTCAGTCGTCTCCAATACCTAATGCAACGTACATGCAAACACTTGCTATGTCGTATGTGAGGGAAAGCTGACGAGGAAGTCTTCCCATGCTCAGCACAGAATCAGTTTTTAGCATTTGCAATCCACAGTGGACAGATTTGTGGAGCTGGCCCCAGGCATAGACAGCTCGCTGTACAGTGTAACTGGCAACACATTTTAATGGGTACAAATTAAAATTTTATGAATTTACAAATTTAAAAGCTTAAATCCCAACTGAATACATGAGGCAAGTATTCTGTTTTTAAATATAGAAAAAGGTATCATTGGCAATCTTTTTAATGTGCAGTACTGTGTGGAAAAGTCACTTTACAGCTTCTCTGTAAGACATTTAAGCTTTCTGTGTAAGACATAGTGCCACACCACATGGAATACTCCAAGGGGTGTCCAATTAGTAGGAAATGATCATTGACTCAGAAAAATTATGTCCTTACTTGATACTCAAGTAAGGTATTGAAACTCACATGCAGAGTCAAACTGAATGGTTCTGGAAACTCACAAGGTTGTCTATGAGACGAGTATTAATATAACATCTGTTCAGTGAGCCTCACTGATAAAACCCAAAGGGATCTGGTTTCACCATCATAATCTTGGCTTATGTTCATGCATTCGTGTCTAACTGAGGAACTGCGAACTGCATGTTTTAGCTATACAAATTTAATTTTGAGAAATCAGAATCCCACAGACTTCTCATGTGCATATATCTATTTACCAAAGGTACCTTACTGGATATGGTACCTCAGTAGTTCAGTTTAATAAAACGACACACAAGAACCTTTGGGACTGAGATAGAAAGAGCATTCAAGATTTGATCCTGAATACCGAGGAACTCCTGAAGATGCCACTTATAAATCGTCAATAGAAGACGACTTCTTTTTCCAAAGCTCAGCGACTAATGCACCTGACAGGGAAGGAGGCAGCTCACAGACCAGGTAAATAAGAGGGAGTGTGACAAACTTAGAGCATTTTGCCTGCTCTTCCACACTGTTTCTGAAAAAGGAAATATAAATTTCTTTCCCCTCTCTGCATTTTTTCCAAAACTGCAAACTGCCACAGGGTAAAAGTTTAAATTATCATTGTGTTTTATTTTAAGATGTCAGTACCCATAAATTTAATAATGATCTTATAGGACTATACTATCACAGTGAAAAGTCACTCAAATTACCTACAAAAACATGAAAACCAAAGGAAAAACACGTGTATAGCATGGTCAAAAGTTCTATAGCCTAAGCACCTGCCAGCCGGGGCTTTGGCCCCAACTGCCATCTGGGATGGCAGAGGATGGGTTCTTCGTGGGTTAGTCTCTCTTTCACCTTTTACTCTTTGCCAGAATTGCCCTGTTCAGATGAAGGTGATAGCACACTATAAACAATGGAAAAGCCAATATGTGGAGGGTTTTACAGTTCTAAAAACTGAGTCTGTAAGTTTGGCAGCTCGGGAGGGAATTTCAGCCAATTAGCAAGCCTAACCACCACATCTCCTAAATTTAAATTTGCCTAAGTGGAAGTATTTAAACAATTCACTTACAAGTTTTTGTACACCTAAGTAATTATCCAGTCAGATAACCTGGTGGCAGTTGCTCTAAGGAATTTGAGGGGTTCTTAGGCCTGATTCAAACACAGGGCCTCAAAGGAAATGCAGGAATGTGTTAAGATGACACAGCTGAGCCCCACCACAGGCCTCAGGAAGCAAGTCAAGGAGTTTCCTTAACATGCACGTAAACTTTTTAAAAACCCAGTGAGGAGCAGGGAACATAGCTGAGTGGTGGAGCATTTGCCTGGCACCAAATTCAACACCAAACACTGCTAAAAACAAAACGCAAAGAAGAGGAAAAGCAGCAGTAGCCACAGCAGCGCAGTTTCCTCCAGGGTGTCTGCAGCCCGGGATGGCTCCGCTGGGCTCGCCCTGGGCAGACAGGCGGTGCGCGGTGCGGCAGCTGAATTCCGCCGCCGCCGCCCGGGTTGGCAGAGGGCGCACACACCCAGCAACAGGTGCTCCGCAGAACCCCCGGGGAAGTGGCCTGCGTGTCATAAAATCCTGATCATGAATTTAATTTCCTCTGAGTCCTAAACTGCCCTTCCTAGCTGGCTATAATTCAGTGCCTGACTCTGTCAGGAAGCGTTAAAAAAGTTCATTACAAGTATCCATGCTTTTTTCACATATGTGGAATAACGAACAGACAGCCATTCTGTAATAGGATTTTTTATTATGATAGTGTGTATGAAATATTTTTATTATTTGTTCAATGTTAACTTTATTATTTACTAATTATTTAACTTATTTCCAAAAAGAATCTGAGGTTACTTTCACAAATACATTCATTTAATAAAAATATTCCTAAGGTAGTGTAAGGAAAACACCATTGTAAAGTAAGTAGGCTAGAATAAATATACCTGCTAAGTCATCCCCTAATATTTGACAAACTATTAAAATTAATTCCCAGACTAACCTGGGACTTCCTAAAATCCAAAGCAATAGCCACTTAAAGTAAGCAAAGCACAGGACCAGGACCAGGGCAGCGGCTGAGCAGGGGATTATCTGACATTGAGGTCGACCAGGAACCCTCCTGAGCTCATCTGCAGGAGAGACTGCAAACGGGGGGCAGACACCGTCTCTGGAGTACGGTGCCGTGTTCCTGCCTCTTCTAACAATGACATCTTTACTGGAGGTGGACTGAACTCACATCCAAACGGGACACAAAGATACCGGCCAGGACACTGACGAATGGAGAGCACAGAGATGACGTCAGGCTCAGGCGAGTCCACCGCCAGAAAGTCAGGTCACGTGGGAATCAGAACCGCACACAGGCGGAGAAGCTGGCGCTGGACTCCTGCTTTGTGTTTCGGTGCCACTGCTCACTGCCTGACTTGGGGGGATTCGTCCTTAGCTGGCCCCAGGCAAGCATGCGCTGGACCCTGACTGCACATACCCTTCCGGCTCTCACCTCAGACCCGCGCCTCTCCATTCAGACTCCCAAGGAGAAAAACACAGCTGCCCAGGGGCCTCTACCGTTCCTGGTCTGCTGGGTGATCAATTATTCATCTGCGGTTAAATGTGGAAGCATGTGGTAAACACTGTCCCTGTACCCAGTCTGTCTTTATTCATGAGTAAATGTCTCATAGTGACACATTTGTTACACCCTGTATTTCTAGAAGTCCGGGTCAGTTGAGCAGCTGGTCATAGATACTCAATATAATCTTATTATATGTTCAGAAGTGAAACTTCATTCATTAATCGATCTGAGCCATCTTCCCTACAATAAGTGGATTGTCAAAGTCATTCACACTATGAGAGAAGAGATAAAAATACTCCCACAGGCTCCTCCCCTTCATCTATATGCAGTTCTAGAAACTGAAGATGCTTTATGTGTAAAAAGGATATTCCACACATAAAATCAGTTAGTAAGATAAAAAGAATAAAGTTAGGTAAATAACAGAATTCAAAAGATCAAAAAGAAGCAGAAATATAAATATTAGGGAAGTCTAAGGAAGGTATTTGTATGTAACATATAGAATGAAACAAATTATTATTCTTTTAATAGATTGAAAAACTATTATCAAGAAGAGAAAATTACTTTTGTTCTGTAAATAACTTATCCTCAAAGAAAACACTAAATAAAGATTTCACAAAAAAGGAATTCAATAATATTGTGCTTGAAGATGTTAGTATCAAATATCAAATTAAACAGTACTTTTTAAGTTATAGTAGCTAATGAAAATGAGATACAGAATACATAGAATATTGCAGTTAGAATTTTTTACAGGTCAATGTAACTTTTTTTATATTATACAAATTTTCTTCAGAATGTAAAATGGTATAACCATTATTGAAATAAGTGGGTGATTTCTCAAACAACTAAAAATAAAAATTCCATTTGACGCAGCTTTCTCGCTTCTAAATATCTTCACAACAGAACAAAAGGCATCATAATACTGCGATACATGCATGTGTAATATACAGCATACAGCAGAACAATCATAATACACAGAGCTTGGAAACTGTGTGTGTGTCTATCAGCCAACTGGTGAATGCATAAAGAAAATGTTGCATTTATACACAATGGACCACTACTCAGCCACAAAGCAAGATAAACAAGGCATTCATAGGCACAGATGCAACCTGGGAACATAATGCTAAGTGAAATACATCACACACACTTAAATATCACATGATTATCCAAGCATGGTAGCACACTCCTGTGACACCAGCCCTCAGGAAGCTGAGGCAGAAGAATTGTTTGCAAGTTTACGCCCAGCCTGGGCTACAAAGTGAGACTGAGGCCAACCTAAACTGCATAGCAAGACCTTGTCTGAAATAGACAAAAATAAATAAATTATATATATATATATATATATATATATATATGTATGTATGTATCTCACATGGTTCCTCTTCTGCGAGAAACTCAATAAATACATATACAGCAAAATGGAAGACAGAGAAATAGGAAGTAGGGAGAAGTTCAAATAATTCTCCAAATTCTCTATTCTACTGCCTCAGAACTATTTCAACATACATGCTAATTTGTGTTGGCTACTAGTTTACAGTGGTAGTTTATAATGCATAGTGTAGTTTATCTAGTTTCTACTACTGGTTTGTTTATACTACGTTTCTCTCTGTTGATTGCAAAGAGCTTTGAGTTATTATGTGCTTGTCTCTGAAGGAAGTCTCT